GGAATTCGCTTCCCCCAACCTGCTTCAATCCACCTCTCAACCTGCTTCGATCCACAAAGTAAGTCTATCTTCATACTTGCTTCTAACCACAAGGATAGTTGGTTATGGCATTTGAAGTTTGGACATTTGAACTTTCAACTGATTACTCAAGATATGGTTTTCCAAGTCTTGAGATGCCTGAAAAACTTTGTGAAGTAGGAAAGCAATCCAGAGTTTCTTTCGTTTTGACTATGCCAATGAGATCATCTTGAATGCTCAAAGTGGTACATTCAGATGAATGTGGTCCATTCTAAGAACATACATATGATGGCCCATTTGAAGAACATACATTGGTGGCCCATTCGAAGAACATACATTTGGTCCATTCGAAGGACACACAATTGGTGGAAACAAATATTGCTTTGATGAGCCTGGTCGAAAGTTGTGGAAGGATAGAGTATTCGATTCAAGGAATCAAGTTGAAAACATAATCCATAGGCCATTTTACATGATCTTGCTTTTCAGGCCTCAAACTTGTGTCTCACTCCATAATTAATTGTTTACACAATTAATTAAGCTCTTACCATAGTGTTTAAAGTATTGTCCAAGCCAACTTTCCCTTAATGGCATAAAGTTATCATTGCCATTTTTAGAAAAGTTTTTGTATTGAGCCTTGCGCTTGTCCTTTCTGCACACATATCCCCTATAAACTAGAAGCAACAGGTCTAAGGCCTCCAATAACTTTAGACCGTGCTTGTACAACACCTTGAAACTTGTTTTCCAATTTTCTTCAAAAAAAGAAAGTCACCTAGTCAAAACCCTACAACAGAAAGATCCCTTGTGTAAAACATCTCTAACCTTTTCTCTATAAATATAGAGACCATTTGCAAATAAAAGGGCCAAATTTTGGTGGTGTTGCAAAAATCCTAAAATACTCCCAAACTCCCAAGAACTCTCAAAAACTCATAAACTCTCAAAAACTCATAAACTCTCAAAAACTCAACTTATACACAAGCATAAAACTTGGCACATCCTGACTTCACACACAAAAATCTCAAATCCCTTCATACATTAGTGAGCCTTTCGATTCACCCCCTAGCTTCCATATACTAGCCTTTCGATTCACTATCTAGCCTCCATATATCAGCCTTCTGATTCAGTTCCAGCATTCCATATACCATCCTTTCGATTCAATGACTTTCAAAGCAAAGTAGCAACTAGAATAACTTCAGGGAGGTCGAAGCAGGCTTAACCCGTCATCAAATTATTCCAAGAAGTCATACAGAACTCATTCAAATTGCACTTCAAGAAGGAAGTTTCTTTCAAAACTTAGAACTCTTCATTTAAGCATCATTTGTATATACATTGTAAAGAAAAAATGTAGATATCATGTCTAGGAAGCTGACCATGCTGTTAGTTTTGACTTTCATTGCTTGTGTCTTGAGAAAGTTCATCTCTAAACAGTTAGGTCTTAGTTTTGGTACTTCATTCTAACCTTCGACCCATAGCTTTTAAAAGTTATATGGTTAGATTCGTTTTAAGATTTTGCGCAGGTTTGATGTTTAAAATCTTTCGATTTAGTTGAGAAATGAAGCCTTTCGAATCTTAACAAATGAGCTAGACATCCCTGCGCTCGAAGGAAGAAGATGAAGCCATGTTTAATCATTCAGAACTGAGTTCATTTTATATTTAGTGCAAACTGTATAACCAACGGATTAAACAGACCACCTCAGTGGTACAAATAGCATGCGCTAAAAGCCTTGCCATGTAGAAGGTCCTGAGTTCAAGCCCCAGCGAGACCTTTTATTCATTTTTCATGTTTTCTCACTTTGTCTTGTTTGCAGGAAACACGCTTGGGCCTCCACAGTTAGGCTTCAGCAGTTTTATGTTTATGACCCCCTGCTTACTAACAAACAGGCCCTAGGCCCAAACACAAAACTGTTTTCTACACAAAAACTGTTTTAAACACAAAAAACTATTTTTACACAAAAACACCAAAAATATTTAAATTATTTAGTTTATTTTGTTTAACTTCTTACAATGAAAAAGACCAAAAACATTTTCCTATTTATTTTCTTTTCTTTAACTTAATCTTAATTTTTCTTTAGTTTAATTAAATTTCCTTTTAGTTAAATAGGCCAAAATCTTTCTTTAACAAAATCAAAACAAATTCATTTTCTTTTCATTCATGTCTTGTACATTATATTCCATTAAATTCTTGTACATTATTTAAATTCAATATGGTTGTAATAGATAATTAGGATTTAATTTCTTGCAATCCCCATTTGTAAATGTGTACACCCCATCCCAAAATGATGTAATAGCGTAGTAAATTTACTTTCCGCAATTTACCGCTTTCATATAAATGCTAGTAAATTAGCGTGTGTATGGCAAGACTAAAATCAATCCTAGACAACCCTAATTCAAAGACAAAAATGCATGCAATCAAACACACTATTCACACGTGCACCTCTAGGGTAATCTAACATGTTGCCTCGGAAAATAGTCATGTCCCTCGAATATGGGTGTTTTAGCAAAGACCCTCGATAAAAAGATCGTAGTCCCTCAATGTTGCCTTCGGTAAATGATCTAGTCCCTAACGGAAATTGCTAAGATGTCTCATAAGTTTCCTTCTATGACTATACGATTGACCCACACCCGTCCCTTCACATCCAATGATGGGGCTTCTTACCAATCAATGGTGACATAGCAACGTGTAACAGAGACGGAAAAGAACATAGACCTTTTGAGTAGGTAGGACGCTCGTAGTTGCTTGCTCTTAAACTAAAACCATTTCCACACTTACACTTTCAATACATCTCCAAAAACAAACATCTCTTTAAACTATTTTTAAAACCAACACTTTGTATGTATTCTTATAGAGACGAAAATCATTACAAAGTTAGCCGCAACAAAGGCATTTTGCAAAATATTTTCAAACTTACACCCACCACAAACACATTTCAAACAAAGCAATTTCAAAAAGTGATCTAGCAAGAAAATAAGAGCCCGTAGATAACTGCAGATGAAAAGGATGCTAACACCTTTCCTTTTCATAACCTACCCCCTGAACTCAAGAAAATATCTCAAAGGTCTTTCCTGTTCTTTTCATCCTTTCCTTATTGGATAAAAGAAAAGTCGGTGGCGACTCTTACTATCCGCAACAATTACGATCAAACGCAAAACAACCAAGTCAGTTCTCCCACCGTGTTACACCTATCTACCATAAAATCCATTGCATCAGTCTCCATGCAACAATGTCATTATCAAATTCCTTCCATTGTGTTGGTCTCCATGCAACAATGCTTTTACCAGATTTTGTCTACTGCATCAATCTCCATGCCACAATATTTTTATTAATCTTTTTTCACGGTATAATCCATTGCGTCAGTCTCCAGGCACCAATGTCACCATCAGAGTTTCTTCCTCGACATAACTCATTGTATCAGTCTCAATGCAACAATGTTTCTTATCAGTTTTTCCTGTGATATAACTGTTTGCATCAGTCTCCATGCAACATTGCTTCATCCAAGTTTGTTTTATCCATCCCCTAGGATGCGATGAATAAACAAAATCAAATCAAAACTTACTATATTAGTCTCTTAGAATTAGTAGTAAATAAGCAAAATCTTACAATCTCTCAGATACCGACGAGTTATCCGCGTCATCGAGTCTTAATTCTAATCAACTTTGGTCCAAATGTTGGTAGGATGATGCATCATCATCTATGCCTATTCTTCACACTCATGGGAGCGTTGTACAGTGTATCCTTATAATCTCTTGGATAAATCTTGGGGTTTTCCAATATTTAATAAACTTCTGATTCAACGTGTGAGACCTACGTATTCTCGTACTATTCAATCGAAAGATAATTAAATAGAGACAACTGTCATACCCCAAATTTTTCATACACCTTATATTATAGTTTTCTTTTTAAATAGATCACATTGTATAATCTTTATTTCTAAGGGGGTGTAAAATATCAGAGATGGGTGAATAAGAGAATTTCGTTTTGGGTTAAAAGGCCCCAAATAGACTAGTACAATGGTCCAATTTAGTTTTTGAATTTATTTTTAAAAAAATGTTTTGTTAATAACATTATTATTATCATTATTATTACTATTATTTTATTATAATAATTATTAATGATTGTAATAGTTTTTTTAAAAAAACATTAACTTAATAAATTTAATTAAGAAATTGATTTTTGTTTTATTGATTCAAAAAGAGGTGCTGATAAAAGGTCTTCTTCTTTCAAAATCCAAATCCAGATCAAAATGTTTTGTTTGAAGACCAAAATAAAACAGGCCCAGTTCAAACAAAAAACCCTTAGGCCCATTTCAGTTTCTGTTTAGTTAAATAATTTGTTTTATTTAAGAGAAAAAACATTTGGTTAAAAATGAACCATTCAAGCCCATTTCGCCCAGCCCAAAGTCAACCCAAATTCAATCAGTCCAAAACAAATGATTTTGTATGGCCTATAACCAAACAAACAACTATTGTGCAAATTGGAGAGAGAATAGCGCACACCTTTAACTAGTATCCATGATCAATATAGTTCAAAACATATCCTTCTTTTCTGGTGTTTGCATACAGAACAAGATCAATATATTAATACCAATAAAAATCGAATCGTAAACAATCAATACAAAATCAACACTATTACACATAATCAAATTGCAATCAAAGCAATTTTTTTTAATCTCTAAAAAACAATCTCATTAAAATACTTCCTAAAATCTGCTAAATAATAAACAACAATTAAGTTATTTCCTAAAGGAACCTAATCCTTGGAGGTATAAAACCAAAATTGTTAGTGTTTTGTCAAAGGAGAGATAACTGAGCCACTTTATTCACACAATAACCCAAGATTAAAATAATTGTGATACACTTACTCTTATCTCTCTTTCTTACTAACCAGTAAAAAATTAGAATTGGTTGTGTTATTGTCTTTGTTTTTTGAAGAGAAGGTAGAAGGAGAAGAAAAATAACAACAGAGTCCAAGTTTTCTTGCTCAATTTATGAATTGTCGGATCTTGTTTTCAAGGTAGAAAAGAAAGGAGGAGAAGGAAATTGCAATTGTGCTGAAAAGTTTACAAGTCACCGTGAAGCACCGAATCCGTCAGTCTCTCCTCCAAAACACGTCACTTTCTTTTACCGTTTGAATTTTTTTTTTTTGCAGGAAGAGGAAAAGGACAACCATCAACATTGTAAGCAACATCGACATCACCATAGACCACCGTTTACAACCTCCCAGATTAGAACTCGAATCCACTCCGACCCGGCTGCACGTGCGACAGGACCACTGTCCATCACCTCCATCACCATCGCGAGCCGTTGGTGAACCACCTATGGAACCTCAACGAACGGGTACCACAATCACACGCAAATATATATCAAGCCGCTCCAAATTGCAAACATATGCCACTGCTCAAATTTACCGCAACTCTCGAGTTTGTTTTGTTGCATTATTTGTTGATTTTAATTCACAGATGTGTTGGTTTGATGACTGAGTGGATGGAAGAAAAATTGGAAAAATAAATGGAAGGGAAAAAAGTAGACAAACAAAGGAAGAGAGATAAGGTAATTCTAAGTTTTTCCCTTGGATTATCTCACCTGATGTAATATTCCTCTTGTTATTATTTTATTTTATTTTTCTTTCTAGAAAACCAATCCACATGTCGAAATATTATGGATTAATAGCTTTGTAAGTTGCTTTAAAAAGAGAGAACGTGTATCAGTAAATGAAAAAGTGGAACAGTCATTTGTTTTATTATTATTATTATTATTAACAATGTTTATCTTTTCAAAAAGAGAGAGAGAGGTATAGTCAGAGACATAAAACATGCTGCCTCCCATAATTGGCCGCGTTAGATTTTTGTTTTGTTTTATTTTTTAAAATTTCTATTTTGTTATTCTTCCTATTTGTTTTTATATAATATATGTAAATTACTAAATTAGTAATTTATTTTATTTGGCTTATCCAATTTTATTTAATTAATTAGTAAAGATATAAAAAAGGTACTCTTATTTTATCAAAGTTAATTAGGAATATTTAGATCTGATTGGTTATGTATGCTTTAACTTCTTTCGTATTTAAAATTAAATTAATTTAATATTTTACAAAAAAAATTAAAACTCACGCAATTCCAAATATTTTATCTGCAATACACATGGTCAATATCAGGCCACGTGATGAGGTAGTCTATATCAGACTCTCTCCTAAGAGGATACGTAGACATATGATCAAAATCGTGGCGAATTTTCCTAAAAAATATTAAAATCCCTTCTCCCCTAATAAAACTTAAAATCCTATTTTCTTAAAAAGCGCTTCTAAACCTAGTATCCATGTGAACAAGGTAGATGAGGGGTGCCTAACACCTTTCCTTCATCTAGAACCGAGTCAGACCTAGAATCTCTGGACTTTTTAGGGTTATTCATTTATACTCCATTCTTTTAGGATAAAAATTAAGGGTGGCGACTCTGATTTAAAAATCAGTTGCAACAATTGCCTTTAATTATGTGTTCCACGAACGCACCAAGCATCTGAAAATTGATTGTCATTTAGTCTGGGAGAGACTTCAACAAGGCTTACTTCGTCTTCTTTCGATTTCCCCTCATGAGCAGCTTGCAGATTTTTTTACTAAAACTCTATTAATATCAACTTTCAACAAATATGTATTCAAACTTGGCATGATCAATATGCATCATGCTTAACTTAAGAGAGATGGTTATGATTAGCTAATTAATGATTGATTAGTTTAATTAATTACAGTTTATTGTCTTTTAATTTGTAGCTTGGATATTGGTTGATTAGTAGAAATATGTAGTTTATCATTGGTTGGTTAAAGATAAGATTTTAAACTCTCTTACCTCCAATTTTTTTAGAACTATTGCAATGTCTATTGATACTCAAATTCCACTATGAGCTGAATATGAATCAATACATCATTTCCACAATCTTCTTCTTTTATGAACTGAATGCTTCATCACAACAGTTTTTCGAATTTAAAATTAAATGTGTAATTCCATATATTAGAGCACTGAAACGGTAATTAAGTCAAATTTAAAATTGAATATTCTTATTAACATAATTAAATTAATAAAATGTGTGATTTAAATATCAGAAAATAATGTTAAAACAAAAAATGTGGCAAATTTAAAATTTAAGTTAAAAAATCTTAAGAATTTTTTATTTGGGTTAATCATTATTTTGTTTCCAACTAAATAAGGTGAATTCCAAAAATAAACCTATATAAACAAAATACAAATTTCATCCTTATTATTCATAAATTCTTCTGTTTTGTCCCCTTATTAAATTTAATCAATAAAATTAATGATGTAGCGCTACTGTGTTAGTTTTTCGTTATTTTTTATTTATTTTATTATTACATGGAAACACCACAAAGACTTTCATTTTTTTCTTTTTTATTTATTTAATGTGGCTTATGTTTTATTTTATTTTATTCAGTTTGAAAATTTTGAATGGTTAAAATTCTAAAATTTTGACAACAATGAGTGTTGAATCTATCAACATTTGCATAATGGTAACAGCACTTACTATTAGGTTATTTGATTTCCTTATTTAATAAGTTGCATCAAAATGTATATATTATATAGATATTTTACACGAGTATTATTCAACTATATGTATAGTTATATGAAATATTTTCAGTTAATTACTATAAATCAATATAAATAAATTAATGTAAATCAATTAATGTTATTTATGGTTAGTTTCTATAAATAAATAAATAAATAATGTTAATTAATAATTTATTTATTTATTTAGTTAATATATTTCAGTTTAAAATACTTAATAATATATTTACTTTTAGTATAATATATTTACAATTTACTTTAAGTTTATTTGTTTGTTAATTAAGATAAATTAATAAATTTGAAATAAAATATTTTAAATACATTAATTAACTGGAAATTAACAGTTTATTAAACAAAAATTTATTTAAATATTTAATATTTACTTTATTTACATGAGAATTATTATACATGAATACTATTTATTATTTATTGTATGAATATTATTTTCCATGTGTATTATTTATTTCAAAATGAATATGTTAATATAATATAGTATATATTTCAAAAATTAAAACGTTATTTTGCATAGTACATTATAATTAAATTGAAATTAAAAAATTAAACAATTATTAATTTTTTTAATATTTATTATTTAAAAACTGAAAATAATAAAATAATAACAAATAAAAAATATAAATAAAATTGAAAGTATTAAACATTTATTATTTTAATATTTGATATAATTATCAATTAAAATTGAAAGTGTTAGAAATATTTAATAAAATAATTAAAATAATTAAATATCAAATTATTAAAATTATTATATCAATAATATATTACACATAATAAATAACAAGTTAAATCTTTAACAAATTGTAAAGAAATTAACGTTCTATTATTAAATATTGAAATATATTAAATAATATTTTTAAAATAAACATTGAAATATATAAATATGTATTAGCTTTTTTAAAATAAATATGTTTAAGTAATTATGTAGAAAATATTTATATTATGTTTGAATAATAAATAAAAACTGAATTTTTTACTTTTAATATAATTTATTTCATGTTTTAATATAATATTTCTGTTTAACATATTACAATTTAATATATTTCATAATATTTTTATTTTAATAATATTTCATAATAATATTCAGTTTACATATTATTTAATAATATTCAGTTTAAATAAATTAATTAATTATAATAAAAATTGAAATGTTTAAAAAATAAATAAACTAATTAATTATGATAAAAACTGAAATGCATTAAATATAATATAAAAATTATAATTATAATTGTCCTTAAACCTTGTCATTAATTAATCAAATATTAAATAGACAAATATCAAATAAAAAATATATGTTATAAATATAATTGGAGAAGAGATATATTATAAAGAATGAAATGGTATAGTGGAAGGAAACTTGGTTGACATGGTGCATGTTCAAATCTCACCTATGCTAATTTTTATATTTTGAATGTTTTTAAAGTATGAATTGTTATCAAATAAAAAAAAGTAATATGTGACATTATGGTAAAAATAAATAAATTAAATAAAAAAATTAAATGGTAAATTTTTTAAAAATTAAATAAAAAAAAGTAAAGCAGATAAGCCACATAAAACGTCATATCACTATTTCAATTGATCAAATTCAGCGGGAATAAAATAAGGAAACAAATGACAAAAATAAAATTTAAATTTTTTTATAAAGTTATTTTTAAGAGCAAAACAAAAAAAAAATCTATAAATAGCAAAGATGAAACCTGTATTTTTTTACATGATTGTTTTTAAAATTTCAAGAAGCAAAATGCTGATTAAGCTTTTATTTTACATAAAACTACATATTGTTCAATTTTATTCTATGCGATCGTGGATTTAAAAAAGTTAATGAAAACAATTTAGGTCACTTTCCAAGATAAAAAAGTTAATTTTTTTCCTCATTTGTCATTGAATTATTTTAAAAAAAGTTCCTTTTTTATGAACATATTAAATTTGTGATAACAGCGACAAAGCGGGTAAGCTGTATAGTACAAAATAAGATAATAGCAATAAAGTTATAAGCCTATCTCTGTCTACCCTAAATGAATAAAGACTAGCAAAATATAGCTTCAAATCAAATATATCATATTTTGTATTTTAGACATGGTTATTAGGCATAGTCCAAACATGTAATTATAGCATAAAATTGAAATGGTATTTTCCACTGCATAATACAAACAAGAACACTTCTTCTTAATGAAAGAATCTTTAAGAATAAATTTTCTTAACAGCCAACATATTTCCATGATATATGTGTTAAATTATAATTCTTTTGTGCTGAAATTATGTGAGTGTCGAAGGTGTCAAAGTGTGGAAATAGTTCTAAAATAGATTTAGATTTAGATTTGATTTAGATCTAAAATATATATATTTGATTTAGTTCTAAAATAGATATTTTGGACTTTTATAATTTTGGATTTTGGCTTAGAAAACAAACTAACCTAAATCTATAAATAGAGGGAGTAACCCCAATTTTGTAATCAATCAAGTTGTATTAACAGAATTTACAGTTGCAAGTGAATAAGAAATTTTTCACAGTTTATGGGCAGAGAAGAACTCTGCAGAAAAGTCATTGCCTTCTTTCTTTCATCGATATAATTCATTGTTATTGTGTGGTGATATCAATCTTGTTCATCAAGATTGATAGAAATTCATCATAGATTTTGGTGGATTTCCAACATCTAATATCAAGAGCTTCGATCAAGGAAAGAAGAAGAAAATCAATAGCCGATGAATTACGCAAATGGAAATTTTTCATCGTATCTTCTGATTCTTAAAGGTGATAACTATGAGAATTAGTGCAAATAGATGGAGGTTATATTTTGTTTTCAAGTTCTTTGGGATCTTGTGAAATATGGATTAGAACCACTTGATGAAGATGCTTCAGAGGGTACTTACCTACAAACTTTGTAACGCCTGTTAATTT